AATGTATCATTTACTCTCAGACAAAGGAATTGAGTTTTTGCCACAAACTCAGATTTTCTAATTCCTGTAACTTAGCAACCCGTTTTCCTAGACCTTTGATATTTCAAACTATTAATTCTGGTAGATCAAACAGTCTAAGTTTGAAATATCAAAGGTTTACACCATCAGGTTGCAAAGATATAGGGGTTAGAAAATGTTACAGTGAAACCCTTAATAACGAATACATCGGAAGAATTTATAAAATGTCGTCTTGACAACTTTTCAATGAATTTTATACTATATTATGTAAATTTCAGTATTTGCGAAAAAAAATAAATAGCCACGAATATGCGGGAACAGTTTTAAAGAGTTCCATATATAATCATTTATTTAAAAAACTAAATATCTGCAACATTCCATTATCAGAAAGTGAAGAATACGACATTTGATGAATTCTTTCGATGTATTCATTATTAAGGGATTAAGGGTTTCACTGTAGTTTGTTGCAAAAGTTCCTTTTTAAACGAATTAATCATTTTAAGAAAATTGTATAAGCCTAAAATAAAAATGTAGATGTTCTGTCTATGAAATGTCCTGTCTATAAAATGTACTGTCTATGAAATGTCCTTCCTATGAAATGTCCTGTCTATAAAATGTCCTATCTATGAAATGTCCTATCTATGAAATGTCCTTCCTATGAAATGTCCTGTCTATGAATTGTCCTATCTATGAAATGTCCTATCTATGAAATGTCCTTCCTATGAAATGTCCTTCCTATGAAATGTCCTGTCTATGAAATGTCCTGTCTATAAAATGTCCTATTTATGAAATGTCCTATCTATTAAATGTCCTTCCTATGAAATGTTCTGTCTATGAAATGTCCTGTCTATGAAATGTCCTGACTATGAAATGTCCTGTCTATGAAATGTCCTGTAAATGTCCTATCTATGAAATGTCCTTCCTATGAAATGCCCTGTCTATGAAATATCCTCTCTATGAAATTTCCTGTCTATGAAATGTCCTGTCTATAAATGTCCTATCTATGAAATGTCCTATCTATGAAATTTCCTGTCTATGAAATGTCCTGTCTATAAAATGTCCTATTTATGAAATGTCCTATCTATGAAATGTCCTTCCTATGAAATGTCCCGTCTCAACTACCAATACAACATGTTTTCTTAAACTATAGAAACGAATAAATGTCAACTGTCAGGGTGTGCCAAATTGTCCTTTACTCTACGCCAATAGGTTTATCACATATGTATTTACAGCTTCGCCTTTAAATTGTCCTGAAAACCTCTCTTCTGGTTGGGTATACTACTCCTCCTGAAAACCTCTCTTCTGGTTGGGTATACTACTCCTCCAGAAAATCTCTCTTCTGGTTGGGTATACTACTCCTCCTGAAAACCTCTCTTCAAGTTGGGTTTACTACTCCTCCTGAAAACCTCTCTTCTGGTTGGGTATACTACTCCTCCTGAAAATCTCTCTTCTGGTTGGGTATCCTACTCCTCCTGAAAACCTCTCTTCTGGTTGGGTATACTACTCCTCCTGAAAACCTCTCTTCTGGTTGGGTATCCTACTCCCACTGAAAACCTCTCTTCTGGTTGGGTATACTACTCCTCCTGAAAACCTCTCTTCTGGTTGGGTATACTACTCCTCCTGAAAACCTCTCTTCTGGTTGGGTATACTACTCCTCCTGAAAACCTCTCTTCTGGTTGGGTATACTACTCCTCCTGAAAACCTCTCTTCTGGTTGGGTATACTACTCCTCCAGAAAATCTCTCCCTCCTGAAAACCTCTCTTCTGGTTGGGTATACTACTCCTTCTGAAACCCTCTTTTCTGGTTGGGTATACTACTCCTCCTGAAAACCTCTCTTCTGGTTGGGTATACTACTCATCCTGAAAACCTCTCTTCTGGTTGGGTATACTACTCCTCCTGAAAACCTCTCTTCTGGTTGGGTATACTACTCCTCCTGAAAACCTCTCTTCTGGTTGTATATACTACTCCTCGGAAGATGGATAATTTAACCCCGGTAGGTTACTCGCAGATTCAAATAAACAAACAGAAACAAAAATATTGATATCTAATTTATACTTGATCAGACAAAGCTTTCAAGGGAATCATTGTAAAAAGGGCATTGTCATCTTTGAACGTAGGGTCACTTTGGGGTCACTTGAGATTAAAGATTCATTTTCCACAGCATGTACACAACCAATCAGCAAAAATCTGTATTCAAGGATATTTAAGGATCCTTTGGATACGAATCTAGTACATTAGAACCTAGTACAATAGAACCTAGTACAGTAGAACCTAGTAAAATTTAACCTAGAACAGTAGAACCTAGTACAGTGGAACCCAGTACAGTGGAACCCAGTACAGTAGAACCTAGCACAGGTTAACCTAGTACAGTAGAACATAGTACCGTAGAACTTAGTACAGTAGAACCTAGTACAGTAGAACATAGTACAGTAGAAGCTAGTATAGAAGAACATAGTACAGTAGAACCTAGTTCTGTAGAAACTAGCATAGTTAAACCTTGTATAGTGGAACCTAGTTCTGTAGAACCTAGTACAGTAACCTAGTTCTGTAGAACCTAGTACAGTATAATTCGAAATTGAAATGAATAGTCTAGGGAACATACTGTATTAATGTACTCTACTGCATATAATTTGTGAACATTTACATGATTTGTACACTTTGAACTCGAACTCCCTTTCAGGCTTAAAGGGACTGAAAAAATTCATACCGAGAGATTCTTTAATTTCCCCTCTAATATATATTCTATTCTCTATGGCTAGAGTTCAGAATTTGTTGGTTTATGTTTTGATTGCATACGGTTGTTCTCGATAAAACAAGAAAACTTCTAAATACAAACAAAGTAAACTTGTCCGTCTTCACTCTTGTTGACAGATAACAGCAACACACCAGACAAATTTGAATAAAGACCCGTTGAGATTCTGGTGGGGGATATTTATTTCCCCAGACTCTTATTTCCCAGTCGGCCGCAGAAATACACACAACAGAGTTATCCCCGTCTCAAGAAAATCGATAACAAAAGCTTTATTTCCTAAAAAATAAAAATAAATTATAGGTCATGGTTACTTGTACAATGTTATAATAAATGTTAATAATAGAAAAAATCTTACGATTTAGTAAGGGATGATAGGGGGAACTTATTGTTGATCAGTATTGAAATACTTTTTTAAAACTTCTGAAAAAATTACATTTTGAATATTTAACGAAATTCACTGATGCTTTATATGAAACTATTCTTGCCTAACTTTAATGATTTCACAATAAACGAAAATGTTTTAGGCTCCGTGAGGCGGTGTACAAAGAAAATGCGGGCTGAAATTATTTGGTTTGGTTTTGTCTCCGAGAGGAGATTTTAAGTTGAAGACGACATTATCCAGAGGTCTTAAAGTTAATGGTTAACAACTCTGGTCATCATTACAGACACATCATTACAGTCTTTTACCGTGCAAAGCATTAAAATTGAAAAAATAAAATCTCCAAATCCCCCTAGTTCTAATTGCATGATGTATGGTTTGTTTATTTACAAAAAGCAGAACTGGTGTACTGTACTGCAACCCACCCTTTACAAACAACTAAGCGACCTTTAAAGTTAACTGTACACAGGCGAGCTTATTAAGGCTAGATACTGGATGCACTCCAATGTACGGGAAATGTTGTCTTCATAGCTATGGGCACTCAAATTCCTCATATGACGTCACTGATTATTGACGTAGGATGAAGTGACAAAGTTGTTGGTGGGAGGGGGAAGGATTTTCTCCACTTGTCAGCTGTAAACGAAGACGACATTTTCCATTTGGAGCGCATCCAGAGCATCTAGCTTTAATAAACAACCTTGGGTACAAGCTTGTTTGGGGTGTTGGGACATTTTAATGACGAAACATTTCATTGACTGGACATTTCATATCTGGGACATTTTATGAACCTCTCTCCATATCTTTATTTACAAAAATCCGTCTGCAATTTTTGAAAAGAAAGTTTATATACTAGAAACGGCATTACGGTTTTGTTGTGTCTTTGTATCAGTACAGTTTAGTTTTACCCTCAAAAGAAATTCATATAAAGGATGTCCTACGAAACATGATAGTTGGTGAAATAAATTTTACTATAATATAAAGAATGTTAATAGTCTCTTTAGTTTCAAACAACTTAAAAAATTATGGAAAAAGACATTTTAAACTATTCACCAACTGTCATGTCGTATTTATTCTTTTTCTTACTCTATATATAAGTGTACAGAGTTAGATACGTAAACATATCGTGATGTATACAACCAACCGCTCTATTAATTAATTAATAGGGAGGTCGCTTGTGTACATCTGATCTAAGCTTCACCTCTTCGTTTTATTACTCTATGTGCCAGATCTTCGGCTCGACTTAAGAAGTTAGGCCCAATGAAAATAAAACCGACCTTTATATAAAATTATTTCCGGCGGACTAAGCTAAGCCGAGCAGTGTGCTGTGGATTGACTTCAGACAAATAAACACTGTACATTGTGTACATTGTCTACATTGTGTACATTGTCTACATTGTGTACATTGTGTACATTGTGTACATTGTGTACATTGTGTACATTGTGTACAAGACACAGTGGGACTCATAAAACTGTGGAATAAGGACTGTCTTGATTCATTAACATTTATTACACAATTTTTGCAGATTTTCTAAATATCGTCTTCCACAATTTGTGTGTTCCACTGTGCTGTGAAAAGTATTCTCTCTAAATAAACAGTTTTATTATTTGTATTCTTTAACCAATCAGAAGAAAACAGTAATTATCAAGACAATGATGATAAAAAAGTGTTTTTTTAAAGTAAAAATCTGATTGCGTCAAAAAGCTTCTGTTTTTTATTTTATTTCTTAAAACAATATTTCATAAAGGAGGGCGGGGGGCGGGCCTGCAAGGTGTCGGATCATAAATACTATTTGTCGTCTTCATTTTTAGAGTTTCTTTAGCCACAGAGCTGTTCCTCTCATTGAAGTGTGTTTTTAAAATGTTTGAAGTAGTTGATGAGTTAGATGGGACACTGCGATATTTCCGCGTGTCTTCTGAAATGTCGTCTTTGATCGGCGGCCATTTTGGAAGCTTTCTTGGAAATGGTGGAGAATTTGTATCAATGCCTTTTCCGGAGTCCTGAAATGTCTTTTGATCGACAATTGGTGAACTTTGTTGTGATTGAAGAGTTTTAAGCTTTGAGCGGGGTTGTGATGCTTGATTTGTTAGACTTGATGACTTTGGGACGATAAAGGGTTTAGGAGCTCTTCTTAAAGGTTGGGGATTGTACTCTCTCACCCCAGGAGAATTTGAACCACTTCGGATCTAAAAATAAAATTGGTAGATTTTATGCACTGAAACCCGTGAAACTAATGAAACGACATTTAATTAATTTAATGAGTACTCAATGGCTTTATAAAGAAAATAGTTTTACAAAAAGGTTGAAAATGTGCAATTGCTATGTTTCATCTTCAATGGACTATTTAAAATCATAATGGGTCTAACATTCGTCCTTCGATTCCACAGTTTTATGGGTATGAACAATTTAACCTTAGAGTTATACTGTGGTCGGCGATTATATCAATATAGCGAATGCGATAACGACTTTTCTTTTAAAGTTTTGGCGTCTAACAATATTTTTTCAAATTACAAGCTTACAACCACAAGCAAACAAAGAGACTCAAGTTTTAACTTTAAATAGTCCAATGAACATGAGACACAGAAAAGGTGTAGTGTAAACAGACCAATTTCACTTAATAAATGATTTAATAAGTTAGTAGCAAAACTATTTGCCCAGGGGCGGAAACGTCATGTGTGTGTGTCTGCACCAAAAGAGTGTGTGTTAGTTTAAAGTACCAAAGGTATGTACAGTAGGTTTATACAGTACATACGAATCTCGGTATTTGTACAGTCTAGGAGAGTACATTTGTTTATTGTTAATTGTTTACTTAGAAATAAGTTTAATATGCATGTAATATATTATTTACATATTTAAGTCAACACTATAAGCCAAATTTTCATGCAAAGAATATAATTTGATTAAAGTTTACAACAAATATAGTCGTTATTCACGTTTAATTATAATTGACAACATTGTTCTGCAATTTCCTTGACTGTAATCATGTTGTGTGTCTGTACCAAAAGAGTGTGTGTAAGTTTAATGTACTGGTCTGCAAAGCAGTGCGACTGGCTTTCTCATGCCAGACCAGCTCCATTTCCTTTCCCTTTATTCCTATTCCCTGTATTTGCCTGGTAACACATAAAAATACACTTAAAATACACTTAACACTGGTAACACATAAAAATACACTTAAAAATACATATTGCTTTAATGTCGTCTTCCTATTCCATAGTTTTCTGGGTCTCTCTGTATTTTGAAATGGAAAATATAGATTATACCTGTATAGCAGAAGAAGGTCTCTTATCTCTTGACAAAAATGTTTCTAATTCTCCATCCTGGGAATATAAATATTTTACTTGTGTCCAAAACCTGTCAAAGGATTCGGTCAGATTAAAACATGTTACTCGATAAAGGAATTGAGTATTTGCCACAAATTCAAACTTTATCTTTGTAACCTAATGGTGTAAACCATTGATATTTCAAACTTTCTTTATTTTATCTGTCAGAATTTATAGTTTAAAATATCACAGTTCTATGACATCGGGTTGCAAAGATATCCCGATTCCAAAATCAGAGTTTGTGGCAAAAATTACCTTCGCAATCAATTCTTGAATTGGCTGTAATTTCAAGAGACACTGTAAAGACAGCAATACCCGATTCACAACAGTACCCTTGACACCTTTATCTGGTCATTATATGCCATGTGGTCGTTTTTCTAGGTTTAAAATTGTTTAATTTTAACATTCCTTTGTTTTTCTGCAGTAGAAATTCGAAAGTTACTTTTGTAAAGAAACCACAAATAAATCAGTACTGTTGTGAATCGGACATTGCCACCTTCGCATGGAGGGTCAGTTGAAATTACGCTTACAGTCCCTTATCTCCAATTCTCAAATACCATTTATTTTGATTGCTTATTGATTGCTTATTGATTGCTTATTGGTTGCTTCTTGATTGTTTCTTGGTTGCACACTGGTTGCGTATTGGTTGCTGATTGATTGCTTGTTGGCTACTTATTGGTTGCAATTGGTTTCTTATTGGTTGCTTTGGTTGCTTATTGCTTCTTTATCTATTGCTTAATGATTTCTTATTGATTTCTTATTGGTTGCTTATTGGTTGCAATTGTTTTCTTATTGGTTGCTTTGGTTGCTTATTGGTTGTTTATTGGTTGCAATTGTTTTCTTATTTGTTGCTTTGGTTGCTTATTGGTTTGCTTTTGTTGCTTATTGGTGGCTTATTGGTTGCCTATTGATTGCTTATTGGTTGCTTATCTTCCCTGCAAACATAACTGGATGTGTAACTTCGAAGCAAACAGATGTGGATGGGTACCTTTCCAGAAAACAAAACTGGATAGGTACCAGCAAACAGAACTGGATAGGTACCTTCCCAGCAAACAGAACTGGATAGGTACCTTCACAGAAAACAGAACCGGATAGGTACCTTCACAGAAAACAGAACTGGATAGGTACCTTCCCACCAAACAGAACTGGGTGGGTACCTTCCCACCAAACAGAACTGTATAGGTACCTTCACAGAAAACAGAACCGGATAGATACCTTCCCAGCAAACAGAATAGGATGGTTACCTGTTAAAAACAGAAAAGGACAGACCATGCCAAAAGTGAAGAAGGTTGAGAATCTGTCTAAAAAAAAATTTCTATGGAAAAGTGCAATCTACAGATATCGTTCAAATGGCCAAACATTTTGTTTGACTTCATATGGCCATGGTTTATGATCACTCAGGATTCTAAATGTTGCCATAAAAAGCATCATTTATGAAATATACAAAAAGAGTTGCTTGATTTTTAGTGGCATTGATTAATAATCTTTAAAACTGTATTCTCAAGATTTCTAATATTATATAAACAAAACATCAAAAACAACGAAAAACGATTCTGTTCATATATATATATATATATATAAAACCTATTTCATAACTTATAAAAAGCTTTAAATTACATTTTTTTGTGTTGTATGAAAAAACTTTAAGGCCTCATTAAAAACCCCAAAATTCTT